CAATAAAAATCATTGATGTTGTTAATTACTGCCGGCGACTTTTAAGAGTATTCTTAATATTTAATTAACTTTGCTCTGTAAAACAAGATCATTTTTATAACATTTTGATGTCTTAATGATGTCAAGAAATAGGTGCTCTCGGTGGGCTATTTTGACGTCACCATGATGCGTAAAAAGTGATCAAAAAATGATGTCATCTTGATATTTTCGTGACTGATATGTTCTACTTGGGAAATTTCCTTAATTACAGAATTTGCCAGTTGCGTCGATTATTAATTTCCTACATTGGTTAATTATTTACTGGCGACAATAAGTTCATTCTTGTTAAATCATTTAATACAACTCTTGTCATGTCCCGTCACGCGACGGAGATGAGGAAGGGCCGAGGGAGATGAAAAATCGCTGGGCGGGCAAAACGCGAACAAGTCAATTAAAGCGTCCGAACATGTATACATATATCACTTCGTGTATTATTCTTCCGATAGACAAGACTTTTACAATTGGTAAAAAAGATGCGGGTAAATGTTTCGCACAGGCACGCCGGTGTACAAATAGCACGTATATACAACGGTTGTAAGAAATCGCTATCTAAAAACGACCATGTCCAACGTCTCTCCCGTAACGCGCGCGACTAAAATCTAATACGTAAAAGTGGGAATGCTATTTACAACATGTGGTCAACGCGACTACGTGCTTTAATCGCTAGATCGGGATCCCTATTCTCGTCCGCGGGGCGATCTATCGAATGACTAGGGCGCACGTGTGCTCCGAATCGCTCATCAATTAATTACAATTACATGGCACGACTCGAGCGAGGATTCCTCTCGGCGAATCGCGGCGGGTCGGTCTTGTGATTGCGCGATACATTACTTTTTTTTTACAGCTACATGAAATCTTTATCATAACCGTCGCCACTCGCACAATCCGCGCGATCTTGCCGTCCGTCGAATCCCCCGGGTAGGGGGACATCTCGATATCGTCAATCGAGGGGACGTTTAATAAGGATCGTCGCGACGTTGAGTTAAGGTCGAGCTTTCTCACGACGGCAGATTGCGTTCGCGATGGCAAAACGGATTCGACTAGTTCGACACTCTGATCGGACACCAATGTCTGGCACCGCAAACGTACGAAGGAGGAAGGCTTATTTGTCGCCGCTATAAAAATTAATTCGCTGCTGGCAACCTACAATGCGGCTCTGAACAATGCGCTCGACCGGATAACGCTCGTTGGACGTTACACACACGATAGTCTAATTGTATACAATTAATACAGCAAAATTCATCACATAACAGGTGGGTACACTAGTAAACGACCGCTGGGTCTAAACTTATTTCTATGATATGAAATATTATTATAATATTACATATTGTATATATACTTTTTTATTTCTATATATATTTTTGGCAGGTGATCGCATTGCCTGTAGCCGGCTCTTCGCCGGCAATTCCGGTTGTGCAATTCCGAATCACAGATACACGCCTTCGCTTTTGAGAACGTCCCGATGCAACACTTGCATCGTGACGCGCGGTTGCGTTTTTTTGTGTGTGTTTTTTTTAAGAATTTTCTTTCTCGAAGGCAACGACGAACCGCGCCAAATGCTGGCATCGCATCAATTAACGATCGTGACACGCAGAAACTTTCCACTCGGTCCACGGTAGGACAAAGTTATCTTCGCACCCTCGAATTCCGGGAGTTTGCTACAATTTCGTACACGCACCTGTCATTCGCACGTATTTACATGTTACAAAAGTTCGATAGCTGCCTCGAAGAGCCTCGGAGAATTCTCTCATTTAATCCTAAAATAATAACACGACGGCGCTGCGATTCAGTCCGCGTCGATGATCAATCTCAATCGCTTAACGCCGCGCGATAGCGACGCTACGCTCTTTAAATAGATAAGGTCACGAGTTTGGCGTTTTAATAGACGCTCTCGAAAATTTCTTTCCACACGTTCATCCGTACACGCCAATTCCGTCGGGGCTACGTCGCCGTGTCGGGTCGCACATGCTAAAACGCGATCCGATTACTTACGTAAGGCACGTCTTTACATCAGTGTGATTCGCGCTAAATTAAACACGCTTACAAATTTAACATTATTACGACTAATTGCTAGATGGTCCCTAATTCGGAAGATGCTTGGAATAATATCCGTCGTATCGCAATGCTCTGTCGATTCTTTCGCAATTCGCAATATGTCGTTATGTTATCCAGCACTGTCGGGAGTGAGCTTTGTTCGATTGTATAGAAACGAATTAATGCGATAAAGGGAAAATTAACAGTCGTACAATCAC